TACGAGTATATATACCAAGGTACACCTCCTACAAGACAATAGCGGCGGTGGTACAGTCACGACGATCTTAACTGCAGAGATAATGAAAAGAAAGTAAAAAGAGAAATAGAAATAATATAATAAAATAATAATAAAAAAAAAAAAAAAAATCGTAATGTAATATTATATATTGTACACGCGTCTGTATATAAAAAGTGAGTCTGACGAAAAGTAGATCAACCCACACAACACGCAGACATACCATTGCGCAATATTTATTACGATTATTTTATTGTACGCACACACAAGTATAAATCATGTTCAGTAACATATATATTATGTACGTATGTGTACCGTAACAATCAGTACTCTTTGTCGTCGAAAATATTCAAATAATTTTTTTGTTTTCGTTAGCATATATATATATATATATATATAGCTCTTTAATTTTATTACTGCGGTAATAACCACCTGAAAGGGTCGGGTAAAGACCTCCTCATCATCACTTCCTCAGACGCGTTATGTCCGCAGTTGATATTCACAGACTCGACCCGACGCTACTTGTACGTATAAGTTGGTATTACATACAAATCTCGGCTTAACGATTAAAACCACGTTACCTTAACGATTTGAAAGATTAACCCCAAACCGTTTACTCATCTCAAATAAATTGCATTTTTTACTACTGTTTCTCTTGTTTGATCTCCGTGTTACCATAAATGTTATAATTATCGTTTACAACGACTGGAAATATTACCCAACAGTAAAACATAAATGGCTCGCGTATTTTTACTAAATATTATAACATATGTATGATCGTCTTCGTGATTGTTTCAACTGAGAAATTATCCATTAATTAACTATGTTTAGATGTATATCTATTAACTACTCGTACAGTACTTCTATAAATGTATATATATATATATATGTAAGGTTAACGGATATTATTTTGAGATTTATATCCGACTAGAACATTTTTAATGTACTTGTTAGATATTTTTATCTATTGTCTATTAGGTAATATTATTTACAACTGTAATTGAATACCAAAATCCATAATGATTTATAGAATTAATCGAATATAGTATATACATAATACATATAACAAAAACTCAATAGGTATTATGAAACATTATGAGATGCATAAACAATATTAACATATATTAAAATGAAAGTACTCGAAAAATTGACAACATTTCTTATTTCGCAAATACAAAACCAGATTTATTTTCCAGCTAAAGCATCTTAAATAATTTACAACTAATTTGGCACAATAAAACTACACATTTATACTTTTCAAACATAATGCAATTGGTTAGATAACACGACGATACAACCATTATTTGAAAAATTACATTGTTATTTCATAGTATACGTATATCACACCTCTCATATTATCATTTTCATCGTTAAGTAATTTTTTCCAGAATTATTATTAATTTTTTATTTAAATATTATATAAATAATTTATGATATACAAGCATTTTTAAATTCATTTTTGGTACATGTTATACACTATCTCTGAATAGTTTTAAGCTAATTAAGATTTATAGAAACAATTGTAACGAATAATACAACTAAAGAAAAATCCAATTTATTCCTAAACGTAAACACTTTAAAACAACATGACATAAATATTTTCAAGAATTAACATTAAACGACCCTATTATGTTCCTCCATTCGAAGTGTACTTTAATCAAATCCTTATTTGAATTATTCTCCGTTTCCATTTTATCATTAGAAAAAGTCCTATGTATCACTCTTGATGTGCAACTCCCTATATTACGCGGTACGTAAATACAATTTCACAATCCAGTGGACACTAGCCAACTCAAATAAATATAATTCAGTGAAAGTAAAAATGTATAGCATGTTATTATTATTATATGACCATCGTCCATAGAATCTACTATCGTGTTTCGGGTATCGTATATTATGTTTTTATTTTAGGGACGAAGGATGTATCCTTGAAAAAAAATATCAATAATAATGATCTCCGTATTGAAGATCCGTTGTTTATGCCGGAAAATAATGATAACTTGATACAATAGTGTTATGTATTACGAAATATGACATTAAATGCAAATTCGAATACAACCTTGGGAGTTTTTGTGCATTTTTTCTAATTTTGTTGATTGCTTCAGGCGATTACCAACATTTTAACAGATAATCAAAAATAATAAGAAATATATTTGGCTGAGATAATTGTGATGTATAATACTCGTATTATCATGCATCTTAAAAACATAACAAATGTATATAGAGTTGGTAATATGAATTTATCACTAATTATTCGTCTTCGTTCATTAAAGCCCGACGTAAGAACAATATATAATGGCACACCTATGGTTGATACTATTATGTATATTTATATCGGAATAAAATAATATTTTGAATGTCAACAGTTCAGTAAAACCAAGTTTTAGTACACCGACATATCACCACATTATCACCGATAAATATTCATTAAGTATTGAATTTAAAACTGGAGAAAGTAAAAGTTTCCTAAAGAAACAAAGAGCTCAAGAGTTACGATGTATAATATGATTTTAATACACTTAGGTATAAATTAATTTTTAAAAACACACGAATTTCGTGTACATTTTTGTTATATATATATATACGTAGTTTTGATTTCAAAATATTGCTTTTAATAAAATGTAGCATTTTATTCACTTATCTGGTTTGAGTTTTTCAAATTGCGATTTAGTCCAATTATTACTGTTTATACTATTGCCCATTTTTAGTATAACTGGTTTTATGACTTTAGTCACTGAACACGTATGTAATTTAGATGTTTATATTCTCAATTGTAGTTCAATTCCTTTACAAGGTCGGAATATTATTATATTCGTCCGCATAACAGAAATATCTAATAGTTATCATAATAATCAAGTTTAATGTATGAAACGTTAAAAACTGTAAGATATACTGTAGATTAAAAAAAAAAAGTTGTAAATTAGAACTTAAATGACGAGACATTATTTAATTACGAATAAAGTATTGTAATGTGAAATTGTTTTCATTATTCACGTCTAATATTAAGTTCTATGACATAAAATAATAAAAAAAAATATTTCATTAAAGTACTGTGTATGAGTTTTGAGTGTTTTAACCTTCAAAATTAATTAATATAACATATTACAATATGTATTTATATTTAAATTTGCTCTTGTAACACCATTCACAATATACAATTCACATTCACGCGTGCCCATATATACATATATATATATATATATATACATACATATAATGAAATTCGTTTTATAATAGAAAATAGCACAAAAAAATTGACCCGCAATTCGTGAGCCCCATAAAAATCACAACCTTTTCCACCGTTTAAGGAATTTATCGAGGACAAACTATCTCCGACATTACCATTATGCGTTTTCGTTGATATATTTCACGTTCGTTTGTTACGTTCGTCCGGATTAATTACAAACGTCAAATCGCACAAATCGCATAGGAACGAGAGGGAAAATAATAATAATACGGCATAGTAAATATTTATCACCCCTGAACGATCTTAAATATAGAACAATAAAAATAATAATAAACCAACGGTAATATAGTAATATTCGTGTGTTTTTCTTAGCGATATTAATGACCGCAGTTTGTGAATATCGTGTGACGTAAGATAATCCAGGCCGACCACACCCGCTTGTGTATAGCGACCTCGCCTTCGAGTTTTGACATTATACAGTTCTCTGGACCAGTTTTTTTTTTTTCGTATTGGCGACGTATAGTACTTTTATACACTTATAATATATCTTGTACGGCACACGCCGAACATTATATGCAAACACACACGCGCACACACAACAATGATAACGCATGTTTAATACATCAAACACACACACACACACACACACGTAATGCGATGTGTAAACGTTATTATGTTTTATAAGCCGTTGACTCCCACAGGCGACAACATACATATAATATACTAAATACACTGCTGCGGCTCGACCGGGATAATTTCCATTTCGAGATAAGTTTTGTAACGGATTCAATCGCATTCTATACGCGAACTCCGCCGATTTACCGAGACCAGACGATGCGATTTTGTGACCGTTTTCAGCTTCCTCCTCCTCCCATCATTTCATTTACCATCACGCAGACGTACATATTAATCGATCGTTTAGGATGGTATGATATTAATTATTAAACTGTCAATCGTGTGCCAGGCCGTTATGAATCCACGAAACCCGCGCTCCTGCAGGTTCTATATTATGCACGTTAAACTTCGAGAATTATATTATTGCAACGTGCACATTCAATTCGTACTTAAATATGTAACTAAGTATCGACTCGATGTAGTCAAACGAAAAATTCGTCTTGTGTATCTACAATAATCTTAATTATTGCTCTATTTTGGTTACCAAATGATACCATAAAGAAAAGTATTTACGTAAAAGAAAAAAAACTGTTGGGCACGAGATCGTATGATTGCATTTCAGTAACTATACTGAAATCGTAAAAATACAATACTTATGGTATAAATCCATAAACGAAAACTGAATAATATTTCGATGCAATTATTTACTAAGATATAATAGATATAGCTATTGAGAAACAATACAACAATGATTTTTATTATGACGCATTTGAATGCGTTGTTTCTACATCAAACTTATTGAACTATTGCAGACTATGAAATAAAATTATCATTTAAAATATTATTACATACAATATTACTAAAATTAAGAGCTTATGAATACTTAAATTCAACTCAACAACAATAAAAGTTATCTGCGATAGAATAACATGTTAATAGTTTTTAAAATTACATTAAAGTCGTATTATAATACCCATGTAAATAAACCGAATGCCGAAAAGTAATGAAAACCATTTGTAAATAGGCGAATTTAAGAGTGTACGCATATCGCAATAGTATTGTTCGCAGTTCCAACATGTATACATGTATACATATTTTATTATCATAATATTTATATTATTATATTCAAACGAAAAAACATTCACTTGAACATTCGGTTAAATGTTTTTTTTTTTTCCAGGGTTATGCCAAGAACAAAAGCAACACGCCGAGTTCAAGTGCCCCGAAGAATTCGGATACTATCCACACCCGAACGATTGTTCGCAGTATTACGTTTGCGTCTTCGGTGGCGCCCTGCTAGAGTCATGTACCGGAGGACTAATGTACAGGTAATTATTAATTCTAATACCAACGGTCCGGTGCGTAGCAACAGGAGTGTGTCGGACGTTAAATTCATCGCAGATTCCGGAAAATCGTTACAATTTGCATAGCACTTAGCCGTTGTACGAACGTACGTTCTAGAGACATATTATAAATGATATGATACACCACTTTCACGCGTAAGACGCTCACGGTGACGCAATTTTTTATTTTTTTTTTAAATACCGTTCGTTCGTTAACCGAACTCGATATTATTTAACGCACACACACGCGTACACGTACATCATATCGCATGTGTGCGTGAAGTTCTTTTCAATCAACATCGTCTGGCCTCGGTAGTAGGGTGTAAGTGTATACTGTTTATTTAGGACACACGACACAACCATGTTGCGCGTATTCTACATCAATGTTATGACGTGATTATGATGCCTTTGCTCTCATTTACGATCGGATTATAGATTTCAATTAAAAATATATAAAATTTAACGATCCATAAGAATTCAAAAGTTATTAGACATCTGTAATATTTCATTACAGCTAGGATATTGCATGAAAAATTACATCATAATAGTATTTTGATTGTATTATTTTCATCACTGCACGGCCTGCTTCTTTAGAAAAAAAATCACGTCATCAATGCGACGTATATATGTCTAATTTTATTTTCCTTTATTTGTTCAATTTTTAAACATCTCCTACACCACACAACGTTATAGCATTCAATAACTACTGCTTAGTTTGATTTTAGTTTTACTCAAAATGATAGTATCCAATGGCTATTTACCTTTTTTTTTTTCAAATCGAAACTTCTATAAAAAATACATTTAAATAATTTTACTTTGATGATATCAAACTTTTTTTTTTTTTTCTTATTCAACATACACAATCTATATCTTAGGGGCACAATAAGTTTATGTGGACAGAGTAAAATATACACTAATTAATTTTATAAATCACTACAAAGTTAATAATATAATAAAATATTTATAGGCAATGCTTGATGTGAGAAGTCATCCATAAATAACAATCACCGAATTGGCTATTTTTTTCAAATATGTTATATTTTAATTTCTTTATATATTCAATTTGAAAATATGTAACTATACTGACAGAAAACTGACTTCAACTTAGCTAAGGGGAGGGAGTGGATAAGCAGATCACGATATCATTTTCTTTTCAGGCGTCTGGGTGGATTGCCAGGAATAGAAGGGACTGCAAGAATTCGTATTAGAGAATTGTTGTTGGAGATAAGACGGTTGTGGAAGCGTTAATAGTGAATTATAGCTTCTTCGTGTACTAATTTTATTCTTAGATCAGAGTGGATAATGTGGTTCGAAATGTAAGATGGGGCACTTAAAAGCTTTCTGAGTGCTATGTTTTGAAAAGTTTTATTTTATTTATATTTTATTTTTTTGCATTACTCCATAATCGAATACCATAAGTCCAGACCGATTTAATTAAGAACTAATAGATGAAGAGTTTAGTGTTGATATTAGTGTAATAATAATTACTAAGAAATGTTTCAAGGTTAGGTTAGGTTAGATTAGGAAGACGAAATCGAGAGTTAAAGTTTAGTCGTTTAGATTTGAGATGCTGGGCCCAGGTTAATCTGTGACCTAACGTTAGCTCAAGATATTTTACTGTTTGCGCGTTTGGAATAAAAGTACCAAAGATGGAGTCAGATGGGCAAGACGTAAGTCTAATGGTAAATGTACAACTTATAGATTTTGCTTAGTTTATTTTTAATCGCCTTTTAGTGTACCAGTCATCCATGAGGGAGCGGTGATTTTAGAGGTGGCGTGAATAATAACCTGGTTATGATTTAAAATCACTATTTAAATAATTATTTTATAATGAAAATCTTATAAATTTCATTTAAAAAGTAGATATTTTTTTATAGGTGTTATATTTTTACATTTTTATTATTTTTTATTCTAGTGATAAATCATATTTTAATTAATATATTTTCAGTTCTCTAATTATCTACTATAAATATTCAAAACTATAATAAATATATAATCAAATTTTATAATTATCCATTAATATCATACTTTGATATAAAATTAAATTTACAAGTGTAAAAAATTGTCACACAATATTCACAAATAAAATATTCGAAGTAATTTAAAAATTTGTTGCCAATAGGGTTGTATTTTCATTGTAATTTCAATTAAAATCAAAGATAACGGAAGATATCAAATATAAAGGAAATATAAAATAAATAATTTGTGGTATAGATATGATTATTAATTATAATCATTGTTTAACATCGTTAAAACACTAATAGAACGATTATCAGACATAATCTATTTTATTATTAAAATAGACATAGTCGAAAAGCATTATTACATAATTTTATTCTTTTTAGACTAGTTTCAATAAATTTACACATTTTTAAATTATAACATTTCAACGTTCAGAAAAAAATAGTAAATTTTAAATTGAGTTTTTGTAGCTTAAATATAATCAACTTTTAGATACATTACTACGCCAATAAATTATTAAAATATTAAATATTATAAGTAAAAAAATGTGTTTAATAGTTTATCTCAATGATTTTTCATAAACTTGAAAACTTATACTCAACAGGGAATAGATATACATAATAATTAAATAATGTACAAATACACAACATAAGTATAATACTTCTTTTATCAAAAAATATTTTATATATATATATATATATATATTCAAAATTAATTTAGAACTCTATGTATATTATTCAGCCTATCAGAAATCAACCTCTTCTAAAACTTGAAATATTTATATTTTACGCGATCAAATGACAAATAATCGATCGATATTCATACACATGTATGTTCATTCTGATTCCTTAATACTTGTTACTAAAAATATTAAACTACTCAAAAAATCATGTCTCACAGTAATAATATTATATAATCTTAACGGTTTTGAATTATTATGAAAATAAAATATTTTCATAGCTTTTGGATAATATAATAGCAGTAATCTAGTATAGATAATATACTTTGTAATGTCCACAATACGAGGTTATAGCACTAACTATAAGTGAAATGAAACAACATAATACCGAATCATCATGTCAAATAATATAAATTTTGTCTTGTCCTGTACATAATGAATACTCTTCGTGAAATTAGTCCAATAAATCGTACACCTTTTAAATGAAATGCTAATGGTTTACATATTATTTTAGCCACGAGTTACAAACATGCGATTGGCCTCGTAATGTTGGATGTGGATCTGAGACAACGGCTAGCCAATCTGACAATCAGGAAAACACACTACCATTGGCCCGATCATCGGATCGTCAAAGGCATCCATCAGCACAACCACAGAGAGCTACCCCGTCCCTGTTCAATCAGCAGCATCAACAAATTCAAGACCAACAAGTCAATGAACAACTTGTGAAACAACAGCAGTTGTACGAAGAAGAAGACTTCAGAGCAATTGAGGATGACAGTGATAGACAACAAAGGGTATATAGAGGTCAACCTTCAACACTGGGTCAAGTAGCTAGGGACAGAGACGGCATTTCTAAACATAGAAATATTATACCGGTAACAAATTTTAATCACTACTAATTAGATACTTTACTTTAAATCGATAATAGATTAAGATCCATTATGACTATACACATTTTTAAATTCCAGCAATTCGTTGGTGTGGAAAAAAACAAACAGTTCCAAGTACCAAATCAAAATTACAGGTTAGTGTTTATAAATTAATGTACACTTACAGTAGCTAATAGAAATTTACTGAACATTTAATACTTAACATTTTTTTTCTGTACATAATATATACATGTTGCAACAGAAACAATACGAGCAAAAACAATGGTAAACAACGTTTTAAAAGACAGACCCAACAGAGGTAACGACTATCACACTATGTAGAACAAACTTAAGCACTGTTAGTACCATCAATATTACGTAAAGTAATATTGAATATTGGTAGTAATGGTGAAGGGAACAACTTGATACTGTGTAATTTGTATGATGACACCGTTATTTTTATTAAACATTAGCTACCGCAGATTGACAAGACCAAGACCAACTGAGATGACGATGTCAACAACCAATTATGCCTTGCGCAAGTTACCAAAAGACTACCGGATCTCTAGACCTTCATCATACGTACCAATAACAAACTCAAATAACTCGAGACAACAAAAAAGATGTTTATATGAATCAAAAATGTATCCCGGGCTTATGATTCCATGTCCCACTAGACGATACCGAATGCCTCCTTATCGCCAACAGCACCATGAAGATGAAGATGTTTATGATCAGGTTGAAGACGAACCACCGAAAGTTAACGAAGAAATAGAGGACAAAGGTGATTATGATTATCCTGAAAATCAAAATCAAGAAGAATACGAAGAAGAAAGTCCACAACCACAAAACGCTGATGAAGAATTCGAACAATTATTAACTCGAGTAAAATGTAAGGGTAGACACTGTGACCAAACCGATGAAAATAAATACGAAAATAAAGAAAACGAAAGCCAAGAAAATGAAAATCAGGAATACGAAAATGAAGAAGATGAAAGCCAAGAACAACTTCCTAATTCTAATGAAGATGAACGTACTTTACCAAAACCAAAACCTAAACCAAAACCTATTCCAAAACCGAAAGGAATAAATCCAAAACTAAAACCTTTAGCAGTAATTCATAATTATCAACCAGCGAATTTCACAAAGATTAGGAATAGAGATAAAGACGGGAACCCAGTAGATAGTACAAATAAAGAAGAAATCGAAGAAGAAGAAGAAGAGGGAGAAAATAGTCAAGAAAGTAGACTTGAAGATGTAGAAGAATATAATAATAACGAAGGCGATGATCTACAAGATGATGAATATTACTATGACGATGAAGAAGAATATGATCAGACGCCAAAAAGACCCAAAATACCTCATAAGTTAGCAAACATTGATGATATGAAATTTAAAGTTGAAGGAGACGAACCTTCGGAAAGTATATCTAAGAACACCGTACTAAAAAATGTATCAAAAACTAATGATTTACATAAGCCGGAATCCACCCAAGTAAACTTAACACCACCAATACCGAAACCGTATGATTCAGCTGCAGAAGCTTATACTCGTGTCAAAGACAAGAATAAACCACAAGACCAACAAGTTATGCAAATGGCTATTCATGAAACTACTGTTGCTATTAATTTATTCGATGAACGAAAAAATAAATATAAATTTCCTACTAAGATTGACTCGACAACGGTATCGGCCATATATAGGCCGAAACCAACTGTCCGACCAAACATTTTTAAAAGGTGAGACGTATACTATGACTTAACTTGAACAGTTTTTAGGCGTTCTTTAATTAAGATATTTCACGTAAGTAGAATAAAAACGTCAACTAATTTTTAACTACAATAATTATTTACGAATAAAGGACGCCTAATTGGACTTACAACTTAACTATTTATTTCATAACTTTATACTTCTACTTCTACAAAATATCATAATGAATTTAAAAACTTTCAATCTATAACACTGGCTAGTATAAATATCAAAAAAACTAATTCAAATTTCAATTGTAGACCTCAACAGATTTCTGTTCCATCATATGCAATTGAACAAACCGTACAACCTGTAACTACTGTGAAAACCACAACTTCTACTAGTAATCGCAATGGAACTCAATATGATCCCGCTTTCTACAGTATATATGATGACGATTCTGAAATCTACAAGGATGTAGGTAAGTCAGTTATAACTTTCGGTATATTTCTTAAACCAATGTTTGTATTTCAAATAATTATTAAGCACGTAAAATCTATTGGTTGCATAAAATAATTTTTTTAGATTATGGTCAATTTACTCTATCATCAGTAAATAATAATAATAACAACAACAACAATAATAGATTAAAATCTCAAACTCAACCACAAACTCAATCGCAACCACAACAAGATACGTTCAGAGTCGCCGCACCTTTGCAACAACCAACACAAAGATACCAAGCTAATACATATATGCCAGAATATAACCTTAAAGTAAGTATTCTATAATTTGTTAAGATCAATGTATAATTTTGATTCGTCTTCAATTAAATGAAGTGGTAATGGTTTAGAAATACAAAACTATATTTAAACGAAAAATAGTAAATTAATTAAATAAATGATATTTATATATACTTAGTATATAAGAATGTATTAAAGAATGCCGACATTAAATGTAATATTTCCGTGCATTGATAATAAAATATAATACAATTAATTTAGATATTTTAATATAATTATAGTTCATGTGAATTATACTATGTTAAATTATTCATAAAATATCATTCATAGTTATTAATTCTATGACTTATGAGCTTCTCGAGTTTACGAAAAGATATCCACAATGAATAAATCCGAGCAGTGTGTAATTGAGATTTTGCTGATACGGATTTTTCCATGTAGAAAATGCAGTTCGATTATTTTTGATAGTGTATCTTCTGAAGTATAACTTTTGAATATGAAATAACTAACTGAATAGATTGCGTATTAAATGTTACTATACATTTATAGAATTATAGAGTTTTGTATAGAACTCAAGTCAAGACATTCTGAACTAATAAAGATTGCGAACAATGTAAAAATAAAACCAACATTTTTATCTTGCTACAATTTAAATTACATCTATGCTATTTATCATATTAAGCATAACTTTATAAGTTTAAAAATAATCTACAAAAATAGATTTTTCCTTTTTCGTTTATTTACACCATAAGGTATTGTAAATAAGTATTAGGTAAGCTAACATATTTAAAATATAAATTATTAAAAAATTAGTAACAACAAATCGATTGGAAAAAATCGTTATACTACATTAAACTTAATCTTGCTCAAATATTTCAAAATAATAATAATCATAATGTAAACGTTACGACCGATTAAATTGTTTACAGATCACTGAAGAAGAAGCTCAACGAGATCAACAGACCAAAGCAACCTACAGGTGAGCAATCATTTTTTTCATTTTAATCTCGCTTATGGTTAGATAATTATATTTTTGGTTAGATAAATGGCTAAACGAATAACTATAATTTTTATGATATATACAACCGTAGAACTGCAACGACATGTAAATAAGGCCATGCGGATTTATTATCGTTAAAATAATATACACAATGTAACATTTAGTGGATGTTTGACGTGTTAATACTATATATTGTAATTATACAAAGTAAATGTGAAAATAATGTAAATGTAAAAATATTGTACATATGATATATTTTATTATTACGGTTTTGAATTGGAATGGGTTTTTCTTTTCTAATGCAAAATTCTAAACTCTAATGATACATCCGTTCAATTTTCAGATAACAAATTTATTTATTAAAATTATACTGTTCCGCTGCCTTATTTACACAACAAAACTCCTACAAGACTGACCGACTTATAACACTAATTTTATTTGTACATATCAACTCTTAATATTGTACATATAATTTTAATCAGGTCAACAATCGTCGGTGTAAGTCCCTTCGTACCGGACCGCTCGACATTAAAATTCCCCACGCAGTCTTCTGCACCATCAAAGTTTACCCTCCCCACATCGTCATCCACACCTTCAACACTAACATACCCTACATCTTCCACAACTCTGTCGACAATCCTTTCTTTTCCATCGACTCCTTCATTATTCCTGCGACCTCCATCACCTCAAGGCAGCTATTTATGGACTACCATGTCCACCACTCAAAAATCAAGACCTACCCCGGATTTCAGAATAATCGTAGATCCTTATAGCACGAAACAGTATGATGTAACCACACATCGAGGTACAGTTAAGACCACGCCACCTAGAATAAGAACCACTCAAACGCCTACCATCACTTCCACCACAAGTACAACTACCACAACATCGACCTCCACGGTCAGATCGGTGGATTTCGATCAAGAGTATGACATTGTGGTTGAAGATGAGAGAACAGGCTATATTGATGATAATTCAGTAGAGAAAACTAGTACAACTTCCTCGACCACTTCTGCCCCTATAAAATCATCAGATTTTAGAAATCCTAATAATAACCCAAGAGTCAAGAGCGGTCCGAGTATTCAGCCAGTCACAGTACCAGCACCTACGAGCAAAACAGTAACCGAATGCCGAGAGTGCAACGAAAAACCATCAAGGTATGGAGGATAATATTGAGAGTCAATACATATATTTATATATCTGAATTTATCAGCAATTACGCATCTAATATATCTTCGCTAGTTACTATCAAATACCAGAAAGGTGATTTTATACAACATTTGCTTCATACAAATATCAACACATAAAATATGAAAACAAAAAATATCACAATAGTGAACCATTCATTATACATATAAATACATAAGACTCGAAATCAAATAATAGTAGCAAGATAAATAATATTCGATTTTATTGCAAAACCCACTTCTGTTGTCATTAAAATTATGTTATTAATATTTTACTCAATACCTAACAGCTTTTATTTGTCAATGTTATCAAATAAGTCATATTATTGTAATTTAAATTTGATGAATGCAGTACGTGGTTCGTTGATTTCTTATTTAACTTTTTTATTCTTAAATCCTTTTAAAAATTCCTCAGTTTATAATTTAAAAATACGTTTTCAACTAATATGTGTAAAAAAATTAAACATAAAATGTAAACATCAATAATTGTTTTGATCTAAAATATAATTGTTTAAATTATTCGACTTGCAATAATATAATAATCAAATATAATATTTTCATTGCAACATCAATTACAATTTGAGAAATATTATAACGAGAATACCAAAATGAAAAAACTGGTTTTTAACAACCGTCGTTTATGTCTTCATAACAAACACCTATAGAACATTCGTTGATAAATTATTACATAGAGAATGATTGCAAAATTATAGTTCTCTATGGCTAATCCTTTTTACTTTTCGAAATCATTATCGAACAACTTTGAGAAAATGAAATGCTCTTAATGTTTATATAATATAATTGGTTGATTTATGTGAAATGAGAATATCATTCTTTACCATTTTCGACTAACATATTATTAAAATTACCTCTTATTACTATGTAATATTACATTTACCATTTATTAAATTCGTTCATTGATTAATCAATTTCCATCTATATTCTAATTGAAGTCCTAGTATTATACGCATAGGTCGCAATAGTTACACATATAAGATAGGGATCAATTAAGTTATAACGATTATCTAAAATACTAATGAAATTATATTAAATATTAAAAATCTATGAAAACAATATTAAACATCTTAGCAAGGTACTGCAGAGTTGATTTGTCTTCCATCACGTAAATCGTATTATTGATTGTATAATTTTAGAAGCTACGATAAATCATGAAATTTAAAAAATTACTCTAATCAAAAGTCGGTGTAATATATAAGTTACATTTTTAATTTTTCGGTGTTCTATTTATAATCTAATCCAAAATTATATAAAATAATTAGTGTACCTAGTTTAACAATCCAAAAGTTTAATTGGTAATAAAAATAAAAGAAAAAAAATCACGTTGTAAAGTCAATATATTTCTCGTTTGGATTAAAATCTAAAATATTAATTAACGTATACTTTAAATAAACCAACTATGAATTATATGGTATAAAATTTATATTTTAAAAATTGCTTAAAAACAATTATAACCAGAATGTATCTAAATTTTATTAAAATAATTAAGAATAAAATGATAATTGAAAATTCTAGTAATTCTCGAAAACAACTTCACATTGTTTATAATATATTCAAATAACTATATGTTAATACTAAATTAAATACCTAATAATTAGAGTAAAATTAACCTTTTAGTTTTAACGTCAACTGTTAAATGTACTGATATGCAGCGATTCGCATCAACTTCAAGTGTATAAATAAAAACAATACTTGCATGTTTACAGCGAGTTTTAAATGGTGGTGGGAATAATACAATTTTTGCTTCTTTTCCATCGTGAATTCCCTACTTTATGTGGTTTTTTGTTGCACTCTATATTTTTGTTGTGATTAAAAAGCACTTCACTGATTGGTTTAAATGCTTTTTGGATAAATATATAAATGCATTTGCATTAACGAGCTTTGACGCATTAAACTGTAAAAAACATCCACTACCAAATTTACGACTGTAACATTGTGTACGGCCATTAAATGTTATAAGATCTTAATAATCTTAAATACATATATAAATGTGTGTGTATATATTATATTCAATAGAGGCAGAGTGAGGGGAGGTGCAACATATACAACGGCAAGCAGTAATGATATCGATAGAGGAACTCCTCTGGCTGGGTATTTAAAACTTGACTGCGTCAATTTAATGCGTTTAACACCCAAGCACATTTTAATGAATATTTTTTTACAGAAGAACGAGACCAACGTTAAAACCATCTACATCTATAGTCAGCAAAGCAACGGAATTCGTCGATGTGTATAAATACCCGCCGAGACGGTAAATATTTACTTGACAAAATGTACATCACCATTGATATGTAATGCATTCGTTTTCAGACCTGATCCGATCTATCCTACGCCACAACCCGATAAAACTGCGGCGAAATGTCGCAAAGACGTGTGCCAGTTACCAGACTGTAGTTGTGGTGGCAAAGAAATACCCGGTAAGATATATTACCTATTTACTTATTCATCGATTCGTTATACGTTGGTTTATATATGTAAGATTTTTTTCCATTGCTAAAATCATACTTTCACTTTCGTGTGTATTATTTAGGCGATTTGGCTCCTGAAGAAACTCCACAAATTGTCTTGTTGACTTTCGACGATTCAGTTAACGATCTGAACAAAGGACTTTATACTGATCTGTTTGAAAAAGGCCGAGTCAATCCCAATGGCTGTCCGATCAGTGCTACTTTTTACGTTTCCCACGAATGGACGGATTACAGCCAAGTACAGAATTTATACGCCTCTGGTCACGAAATAGCCTCGCATTCAGTCTCACATAGTTTCGGTGAACAATTCTCGCAAAAGAAATGGACAAAAGAAATCGTCGGACAAAGAGAAATACTGTCCGCTTACGGTGGAGTGAAACAAGAAGATATAAGAGGAATGAGAGCACCGTTTTTAGCTGTATGTCAAATAATAATTATTTTATTGTTACCCGTATCCATTCGTATCAATTTATATTAAGCCTATTATCGAACTAATGAAATTGTAGGTCGGAGGAAATAAAATGTTCAAAATGTTGTATGATAGCAACTTTACTTACGATTCATCCATGCCAATTTACGAGAATAAACCTCCTAGCTGGCCATATACACTTGATTATAAATTATTCCACGATTGTATGATACCACCGTGTCCGACCAGATCATACCCAGGTATAAAATTAAACGATGACCATTGAAAAAATTAACAATACTTACTAATCATATTATAATATTTTAGGTGTCTGGGAAGTTCCAATGGTTATGTGGCAAGACTTAAACGGAGGCAGATGTTCCATGGGCGACGCTTGTAGTAATCCGCCAGATGCAGATGGTGTATCTAAAATGTTGATGAAAAATTTTGACAGACATTTTACCAGTAACAGGTATTGTTATATTATTGTAAATTATAAAATTTTATATAAATAGAATACATGGTTTTAAAGTAGTGACAATTAAATAATATAATATTCATAAATTATATATATTTCATAAAGTATACGAGTAGTTAATAAATAATCATGAACAATATTGTACGAAATACATCAAAAAATAAAGTTCATCTTTTTTTATAACAATAATTAAATAACTCTAATATATTAATATTTACTGAATAGCGTTCGTTCACACCGTTTTATGAAGACCATTTTAATCACACAACAACCGACATGATGTACTAATAATAAATAATTGATTACCTATGCGATACACATTAATGCATTGTGTAACATTCTCAACATTTTTAATTAAGAATATCTAAAAATATATGTTTTAAAATCATTTGTATTAATCAAATATTGTATTATACGTTTGAGTAATAACTATGTTCTAATTTTCAAACAATACTTTGAAAATTAGTTTTTAATGAAATTTGAAAGAATAATTTGGTATTTTATGATCCATACTCGAATTTCTTGTAGGTACTATCTTTAAAAATTATTTTTCGTGCACAAGAGACTTTAATTTTTATTATTCAATAATTGTATTGTACAAATATGTAATTAAAAGTCGATCATATTACAATCAATCTATACGTTTGTTCGTTCATGTACATATTGCCAAAATAAATCAATCTTATAGTTAAGTTGACAAAATTTTTTGTTTTCATCATTATGCTATATAATAATATTATTCAATATTCAAATAAATCTTTTATATTGCGTTTGTTATTTAAAATATATAAAACTCAATTTTAATGAGTATACCCATAACATTTTATAAACTAAATTAACTAACAATAAAATAATAATATCGAGCTGTGGATACAACAATTATTTTACCAACCAATTAATCCAATTTTTTCTACATTTTTGTTCCAAAACATATTTTCTATCGAAAACAATGTACTTATCATACTACTTACCATTTACCAAACATTCATGTTTTAGATCTCCATTTGGACTGTTTTACCACGCAGCCTGGTTTACACAGCCTCATCACAAAGAAGGTTTCATCAAATTCTTAGACAACATTGTAAGCATGCCTGAAGTTTGGATCGTCACCAATTGGCAAGCCATCCAATGGGTGAGAGATCCTACATCAATTTCCAGATTACAGTCGTTTACACCATTCCACTGTGATTTATCGGTAAGTAAAATATTGATATTTTACTAATTTAGGAATTATACTTTGCATGAACATCATAATAAATCGTGAATAATAGAATTTGAAACCCAAAAAATATAATTATCTAAACTTGATCAAAAGAAAAAAATATGAATTACCAACTAAAAATACTTTACCAATTATAAATAATTTTTTTTTTTTTATGTATATTTATTATCCGTGCACAAAAATCATAATAAACTTAATTTCATTCCCTCCAGGAGAGACCGAAGAAATGCAACAATCCAAAAGTGTGCAACCTGTGGCACAAGTCGGGTGTAAGATACATGCGAACGTGTCAGCCATGCCCAGATGTATATCCGTGGACGGGAAAATCTGGAATCAGAAGTAGTCGAATTGACGACGGCACGGAATAAAAAACACGACGACATAGGCCAACACGATTTAGAATTATTATTATTATTATTATTATTATTTTTATTATTATTTTCAATGTAAATTATGAACATGTGATCACTTTTTCACATCGTATTTTGGCACGACGTTGAAAAACTGATTACATGTAAGATACTCACACACGAACACGCTCAATATTTCAGTAAATACAAATCGTTTGGGAAAATATTAATTATTAAATTTTAGTTTTCTTTTTGCAAATTTATTTCAAAATAATAATTATAATTATTCCGACAGTCGAATTACTTGTGCAATTTATAGGTTTTGTATTATTGTTTTAACTAATAAGTTTAAAATTAAATACATATATATATATTTATAAAAATATACATACTCGTTTTTTAATAAAAAACAATTTTTGTATAGTACCTAATATTTTGTAATTATTGTAAAAATCCTCAAGATAAAAACCACATATCTGTAGTACATATATGATAACTAAAGCGCAGATTTCTATGCAATCGCATATTTTTTTCTTTTCAATATTATTGGATTTTTGTCAGTTATCTCCACGAATCATCATAATTTGAAGCTAATGGTGAAATTTTTTTTTTTGCATATTTCTGCATATTTAGAAGTTATTGCATATTTTTGCATATTTTGGCAAAATTTAAAATGTATTGCATATTGAAGTGAAAATAACTAATAACTAAATAACTAATCAACCATGATTTTATTATTATAACAAGGCTCTATAATAATATTTTGAAAATTAACTTGAAAAATATTTTTATCTAAGAATTTATTTTGCTCCACAGTCAATAACCTACAAGTAGTGGTGACGCTTAGGGAGCCAGCATTAATATTGGGCTATCTCTTTCGCCACAGACAAATAAGAAAATAATAAGAAATTATAACTGTGATTATTTTATAGTAACGATAGTAGTGGAATGTATATATTGTTTATAATAATTACCTTACACACTCACTTATCCCATAAGCATTATAATAATAAGAATAGACCATCCGATACTGATAATAATATAATATAATAATAAAAATGGTATGACCGGCTTGGCCTTTACAATATTGTACATGACATAATAATTGAACTGTTATTGATAATATACAGATAAAATAATACAGTAGGTATATAATAATGATATAATAATTAAAATGCTATACTCTCAGAGCAAGTGGGCATACGACTGATTTTTCCTCCACGCTACCGTGCCGGGGTCCGTAAATAATAATAAGTTGATACAATTAAAAAACGTTCAGGTTTGACCCCGCACATCGCGATCGTGTGTAGCCATTTGCTTATAATAATTTTTATAATACAGCGTCAGCAGCATAAAAACACCAATGGTATAAATGAAAGTAAACCTGCGTGAAACAGAAAGCCCGTTGGTAACGTAATCGCCTAAAAGGGTTTGAAAGGTTACATTATATGAAAAAAACGTGGTTAGTCATTCAACGACCAAGACAAATATGGCCGATAGCCCAACGAGACAAAACTGTGACTTAAGGGGCCTCACCACCACGTTTTTTTTTAACGAAAACTACTGTTCCTAATTCCAACGCTATGCGTCCACAATTATCACGATTTTCATTCTGAAAAAATATACAATTTCTACAAAATATTTACAAGGGAACGATTGAGCCACATTTTTAATTTTTGTAATTTGAATTGCAATAAATATTGTAGAAAATTCAAAAAAAATACAGAATTTCAAACTTAAATATTTAATCTAAATACAATTTTTAAAATGTGCCTCGATCGATTCCTCGTACATATTGTGGAAAAAAAGAATGTTTTTTTCAAAATGCAAATCGAGATAATCGTTGTGACGTATTGTTTTAATTAGAATCGTATGTAGAGTGAAAAATAAACATATTTTCGCGATCACAATATTACGCTCGACATATTTGTGGGAGTGCGTACGGAAGCCCTCCGTAGCGCTACCGTGCCGCGTCAAGATAATGAACCTATACACGAGGAACATATTTAGGAGGGGGTTGATATGGATGTTGGAACCCCCCCCCCATCGACCGTATTATATGGTATTTCACTAAATTGCAAACTTACTTACGGTATAATTTAAATAAACGTAAGTATATATGAAATCATTTTCATTAATATAATAATTTATATAAATATATGGTATTTATAAATGTAATACGTGGGGGTCAAACCTCCACTTACTATAAGCCTATTAAATCTTAAACACCCCCGTTAAATGAATCCTGGATACGCCACTGCTATACACTGTAATATAATTAGCAGGGAACGGACTTTAATGACTTAAAAAATAAGAAAAATGTCCGTAAAAAATATGACCTTATGCCTTAAAAAAATGCTTTAATATCGAAAAAATGCACTAAAAACATTAAAAATATTATTAAATTCGATAAAAACAAAATTTTGAACAGTTTTGTGTGTGTGTAATATTATTAAAACTTAAAATTTATAAAAAATTCATCATTATAAAAAATTTATCTTATAAAAAAAATATTTAAATATATACAATAAAAAAAAAACTCTTTGTCTTTTCGCTTATTTTTTTTTTAGCCTGAAAAATGTTTTATGTTAATTAATAATTATTAACTGTTTTCATCGAATTCTTGTACATACACACGCAAACGACAACGATCGGGCAGCTTAATTATCGGCATCTTTCACACTTATTCGAATTACGATAGCGAACACGACTAAGGCTGTTTGCACACAGTCCAATAATATCGGACGATAAAATCGGTAACGATAATAATATCGGATATATTTTGCACATTAGTCAAAATTATCGGTCCGATAAAAGAATAAGAATCATATTATTACGGTTATTAGGCTTGTATCTGTCAGACATTTCTTACCATTTCTAGTGTTTAATAATTTAAAATGAATTCTAAAAAGAAAATCGCCCTCTTAGCGGTATTACACATTAAACAAAAACGTGAATTATTAGCAAAAAAAACATGTACACTTCTTCCCATTGTTTTTTTTTTAAGATTTCTGTATTTATATTCATTTGTTGTTTTATCCCAAAGACATGGTCTTGATTCTACTAATTCAATTAGAGTTGGCACGTCGTAGGGAAAGTAACTCATTTTTCAAAATTTAAAATACTGAAATATAATATTGAAAGTTCCTATTAGATACGTGCGAGGAATTAAAACTACATTTTATTTCATTATTCCGATAATATCGACGAGTGTGCAAACGAACCATTTATTTTTAGTAATCATTAAAACCGAACCGATAAAGTATCGTCCGATTTTGGTCGTTTGTCCGACATGCACAACGATATCGGTGAATTAAAAATAGATATTTTATCGGATCGGAACTAGTGTGTAAACGATTGATTTAAAATAACGTATTATTGGTGTATCCGACACCATCACCGATAATATCGTCCGATTTTATCGGACTGTGTGCAAACGGCCTAACGACTAACGACTCTATGAGTACCTACTAATAATCGGACACCAATTAGTTTTATATCGCGTATCGTAACGTTATCGAGATTATTTGATGGGAATTACGTATAACCATATAGATAGATACAATCAGCCGATCTTCGTAAGAATAACTAAAATTGTATAATTCCAAGCAACAAATATATACGAAAAATGACCTAAAAATGGAAAAATGCTCTAAAAATTTCAAAAAATGCTTTAAAAACTGAAAAAGTTTAAAAAATGCAAAAAAATGCAAAATAAAAGTTTCATTATTAAATTCTCTGATGTATGAATCGAATTATACACTTAGAAAGCATTGCCCTATTCTACCCACTAAAAAATGTATTTTGCATCAAAGTCCGTTCCCTGATAATTAGATACGTTCATGTTTATACTTTTAGTAAATTTCTTACCGAATTTCAAACCCATACTTATATAAAACTAAATGGCATACCTCAAATAACGATTATTTAACATGATTTTTTACTTTGATTTAAATATACAGAGTGTTTCTGAAATGTATGAGGACACTAGTATACACGTACCCGCTGTGATGGCCCAAAGTAGTTTTATTGAAATTTTTTTCAATCTCTAAAATCTTAGCTTATTCAATTTATTTTTAGAACATTACCTTAAATGTAAAAATAAACACTTTAGTTGTAATTTTTGCAAAATTCTCATACGAATCGAGACGTCACATTGTTTTTGGGCTTGTCGCGTTTTTCACGCTCGAATCGCCGACTAAAAAAAAGTCGTGTGACATATCGATTCGTATGAGAACACTTCACGATAAACAGTGGTAATAGTAGTTTGTTGTCAGTTAACACACATAAGTAATTAAAAAAGCTTTAATATTGTAAAAAATCATAATTAAATACATTTTAATTTTAAAATCAATTTTTATTTAGAAAAGTTGTTCAATGTAACCCGATGTAATGAACTTAATTGCACTTTGCACCGCCAATTTGTACAAATTGTACTTTTTTGTAATGAAGTTTTTTCCAATTCATTAGACGAATGATATTAGCTACATTATTAATTCCCAACAAAATGTCATCTCTATTATTTAGTTTTTTTGGCATAAACTTATTCGTTCATAAAACCCCATAAGAAAATGTCATAGGTATGTGTTAAAATCAGGACTGCGTGGTGGCCATTTTATGCCTAGGCTATATTGACCATTGTTTTCAGCTCCTCTACCTATAAGTTTGTCAGGGAAAAGATAGTGTAATTGTTGTTGGACTGCATTTGTGTGATGAGGAAGTGCACCATCTAACATAAACCACATTGATTCTTGTTCTTCCAATGGTACATGGAGTGCTCTCGTCATACATCCATCACGTTTCCGGTCCGCAAAAAAATATTAAATACTTGCTGGTTACTATTCTTACTATTTCTTCAATAAGTAAAATTTAAATAAATGAGAAGACATAAAAATTAAATATAATTAAGAGGAAAAAAAACAAATACTGTATTTTTCACGAAATAAACATTTTTAACATATTAGTTTAAAATTAAAATATACAGAACCTATCACAAATTATAAAACACAAATACTTTGGTTAACTGAAGTCGTTTAATAACAATATTTGAAGTTTTTGCTTTAGCAACATGATGTAGTTGTATTTATAAATTCAAAAATTAAAAACAAACAATTGGTTGTAGTTAACGCAAGCTTCTATTTTTGTTCATATTAGTTTTTTTTTTAATTGAGGGTCCCAAATCACGAAGGCCTCGGTGCGTCGCACCTACTGCATCACTGCTACGCC